TGTCCACCAGTGTCCCTGTCCACCAGTGTCCCTGTCCACCAGTGTCCCTGTCCACCAGTGTCCCTGTCCACAGTGAGGACAGTTTTACACCATGAACTGAGAGGATCCAGAAAGAAGCTCTAGGACCTTCATGCTGGACTGAAACCTGCAGTTGTCCACATAGAGGAGACAAATGTCTTCTGGGGAAAGGTTTGATGGACAGACGAGACAAAGATTGAGACAAGAAGGACGTTTGGAGGAGTCCAGGTGAGACTTTCAGACCTCAGAACCCTGAACCAACTGTCAGGCACGGTGGTGGCAGTGTCATGGTGTGGGACAAAGTGAGGAGGACTACCTYCACATTCTTTATCTTCACCTCAAACCAACAGCTGGACAGTCCAACATTAGATATTTTTACTATAATACTTGATATGAGTTATGTTTTAATTGCATATTCATGATTTTCCTCTTTTAGCTTCTCTTTTGTAAGGATTTTGTCAATTCTTGTCAGCATTTTTTGCTTTTTTTAGTGTTTTGATGATTTAGCTTCTTTCTAGTGTCTATTTCTTTTATCTTTAACAACTGTTTCAGCTTTTCCATGCAGCCCTCAGTATTTACTCTGTTTTAACTCATTATTTATTAAGTTTGTGWGAAATCTGCTGTCACTTTAAGTAAAAAGTTTGTCCCCTTTCAGACTAAAAGCAGCTTAAATAAACTTCTGAGGAGCATAAATTAATCCAAGTGTTTGTTCAGCATCCTTCCTGTGTTTCTGCTCCACATATTTATCAGAAGTTATTAATAATAATAAATCGTCAGAAGTGTCGAACTGCGACTGTGCGGCGCGGCGCACTCTGATGACGTCACGCGGAGAGGAGGTGCAGCTTTGCCACGTCGGTTCTGAGTGCAGCGCACTGTTGCTCCTCCAGGACCAGGACTAACTTTCCGAGCCGTTTTATGTCCCCGGGCGAGCGGCCAGCGGACCCGCAGCGTCTCCGGTACCGGTGTAACCCGTTCCCGCGTCGGTGCCGAGCCGGCTGCCGAGGCTGGAAGGAGGAGAAACCCCCGCTCGGTGCTGTTCGGACCCGCTGACTCTGATGCATCCTCGCTCGGCTCAGCTCTGCCCCCCCGCATGTTGTCGGTGTTGTGTGAGTCAAGTTGTGTTTTAAACTCTTTACTGTTGGTTTAAATGTTGTTTAAAGGCTGCAGGAGGCGGTTCTTCTGGGTCAAAGCGGCCTTTTTGTAAAGTTCCTCTCTGATGTCAGAATCTCAGAGGCGACAAAAAAAACATCCTTTAACAAAAAACCTGTTCCAGCAGGAGGACACGGTCCGGTTCTGATCCACAACTCTTCTAAACTGCAGCACCTCCACGTTAACCCCCAGCCTGCAGTTCCTGTTTTCACTTCTTACAGCTGTAAACTCGAGCTGAGTGCAGCTAAACCAGGTCCCTGTGGTGCGGTAGTGCCGCGCGCGCGCGTGCGCGTTAACGTCTGTTTCCTGTTTGTAGATGAAGCTCAAAGTGTCTGAATGTTGCAGCCGCGAACTCATCATTTTATCTCCTTCATCATGTTTCATCAAACASCAGAACAGAGAGGAACTGTGGATTTCTGCAGGGAAAGGATGCTTTATCACAAAAGGATTAGATTAGATTACATTACATTACATTAGATTAGGTTTTTAAAAAAATGTTGAAAAGATAAACTGCTTCAGTTGAAATGCTTTGCGTTTTCCTTGTGGTTTAGCTGAGAAAACATTGTTAAATTGTTTAATTGTCCGACCGATACAAACAGAAGTTGTTCGGCTGAAACGTGTGGACACAGATGGACATTAATCTGACATCTGATCTATATGAAMGTTAATTATCTGACTTATCTATATGGATGTTAATCAGTCGACCAATGTTCAAGGACATTAATCATCCGACCTATGATGACGGACGTTAATCGAACGACTAATGATGACAGACATTAATCGGCCAGCCGATGCTGACTGACACCAATTGTCCAACCAGTGATGATGGATGTTAATGGTTCGACCACTGTCGACAGACGTTAATCAGCCGACCAATGTTGACAGACATTAACGGTTCAACCGATGTTGATGGACGTTAATTGACCAACCAGTGTTGACAGACACCAATCGTCCAACTAGTGCTTACGGACGTTAATCGGCCGACCAATGAGAGTAGACGTTAATGGTCCGATCGGTGTTGACGGACGTTAATCAGCCAACCAATGTTGATGGACACCAATTATCCAACCAATGCTGATGGACACTTATGGTCCGACTGATATTGCTGGAAGTTAATCATCCGACCGATGTTGATGGATGCTAATTGACCAACCAATGTTGACAGACACTAATCATCCAACTAGTGCTTACGGACATTAATCAGCCGACCAATGATATTGGACGTTAATGGTCCGATCGGTGTTGACGAACTTTAATTGGCCGACCGATGTTGTTGGACATAATCGGCCGACCAATGATAGTGGACGTTAATGGTCCGATCGGTGTTGACGAACTTTAATCGGCCGACCAGTGATGGTGGACGTTAATGGTCTGATCGGTGTTGACGAACTTTAATCGGCCGACCAGTGATGGTGGACGTTAATGGTCCGATTGGTGTTGACGAACTTTAATCGGCCGACCAATGATGATGGACGTTAATCAGCCGACCGGTGTTGACGGACGTTAATCGGCCGACCAATGTTGACAGATGCTAATTGGCCGAATGATCTACACAGATGTTAATTGTCTAAACAATATGGACACAGATGGAAGTTAACTTGCCGACCATTGTTGGACGTTTATCAGCCGATAGATCTATATCGATGTTAATCGTCCAACCATTGTGGACACAGACAGAAGTTAAATGATGGATGTGAATCGTCTGATCGATTTTGACGGACGTTAATTGGCTGATCGATATGGTTGTTTATTAATCTGTCAACCAATTTAGACTAAAATAGTCATCAGACATATTTTTATTGAATGTCTTTATTCATTAGGCCTCAGTAAAACAGTCAGGTCGTGTAGCTACACATCCCTTGACTTGCAAAGTAGGAAAATCAAGATACAGTAGCTTTTATTATAAATTATATTTCAAAATGTTTGAAAAAAAATTCAATTCATAAA